TCTTTAACAACTGAGGCATCTCTAAGCACCAACACTCTTCTTTAAATTGTATGTTGTGTTGTATTCTTCATCGCCTTTATTATTATTATTAATGATTATCACTTTAAGTTTCCCTCTCTAACAGTGTTTTTAGATAGCTGTTTCTCTTCCAAGAATATTTGATGCAATACTCATATCTTCTGATTTTTCTTTTAATTAATTAATTATATTTGTTTATTTATTACTGCATTGGAGGCAGAGCCCAGGAAATCACATGTGCTAGGCAATCATTCTACCACTGAGCTATATCCCCAGCCCTAGTTTTATTTTTATATGTAACTAAGAAAAAATATTTTTCACCTAACTGCTTGGTCATTTAATGAAACAGTGTTAACTGACAAGTCATTTTGGTACCCTTGGTTTTTATTTTATCAGATGTATTTGAACCTGAGTTCACTTTTACACTTTGTTCTTTTTGATTATTCCATTTATTCATATGTTGTTTAGTATGTTATTTTATCATGCTAGTTTTAAAAAATCCCTGGAACATAAAATGTACCAAATCCTATGAAATTACAAATTTTGCTCAATTTTCCTCCCTTGTTTAGCAGCTTTTCTTTCCTAAGAGCCCTGATATCATTTCAGGAGAACCTCCCTCTCTTAATCACTTTTTCTGCTTGATGCACATTTCATAGAAAACACACTGAGTTTCTAGATCCTTCAGAGAATTCACAAACCCCTCTCTCCCCCATTCTGCTTTCATAGCTGCTCTTTCCACAGCCGGGACACCAGGCTTACTTACTCAAACCCACCTCCTGCTTTCATCTCCTTCCTGCTCTGACCCATGACCCATCAATCGCTCTGATCACAGAAGATCTGCTTTCCTGAAGTTGCCTCCTCACATTTCAGCCCTGGCCTAATTCCCAGCACTCATAACTTAAAGTGTTAAGGAAAATAAATAGGCAAAAGAACAAGCAGTGAGGTCACTGTACTCTTACTTCAGATCAAAGCAACTGCAGACATCTCAAAAACATTTTATTCAGCCCTTTCAAGCAGGGATTAAGGATCTTTTTCACTTGACTCCCTTGATCATTCATTCCATTTGCTCTTCTTACTCAACAAATATAGAAGGGGCCACTTTGCTTAGGCAGGTCCCCCTGTGACACAAATGTGGCTCAGCCAATCAGCGTGACAGAGCCTATGGCATCCTAAGTAAATGTAAATCAAATACGTTAATATTGGAAAATGTCCACATATGGACCCCCCTTCTCACTCATAATCCAAGTGAATCCAGCTGATCCTCAAGGTGGTGCTTTTCCATGCAATTGTTTAAGGTTCTAGAATGTTTGAATGTACAGCTTAGTCTCCACCAATCCTTCCACAATCACCGTGGCCACAAGAGAGAGGGCATGCTGGAAATGGCCACAGAGCCCGTTCTGACCAGCTGGAAGTAACATATGCCAGAAATTCATGCCTGTCTCATAAGGGCTTCACTGAAACATCAGAGAAACCCAGGAAATCTGCTGTGAGAATCCATGCAAAAGCCTCACAGTAACAGATGAGGCCATGTGCCAGTGAAACGTCCTGTTCTCTAAACAGCTTGGTAATAGCACAAGATGATGGCTCCCGTGTGGTCCTGGCTAAGAGCTCTTAGACCACCCCTTCATTCTAAATCTGCTGTCAAGCATCTCTATTGTCTACTGCTGCAATTCAGCTCTAGAGATGACTTCTCAGCACCCTTAGGGATTCCGGAGCCAGAGAGCATAACTAGCTATTTCATCTTTGTTTCCAGCCCTGGATAAGTATTTGGTAACTCAATTAACATTTTCCCTTTAATAAAAAGGTTTTGTGAGGTAGGGATGTTTTGTTTTTCAAATACACCTTTGAGCTTGAATAAGGAGGATTTCCAGAGGGTAAGTGTGGTTGAGAATTGTCCAAACAAGTAATTCAGTTGTCAGTGGATTCATACAACTATGTCCTAAAAAGATTCAAAGCAAAATAGAATCCTAGAAAAGAAAACATCAGAAGGCTCCTCTCATGCTGTGCATTATGAGATGTGGGCTGCTTTGGTGACAGGAGGATTGAGAATCAGGAGTAGTCTTGAGAATATACATTTAACTAGCTGGGCATGGAGGTGCACACTGATGATTGCAGACTCTGCAAGTTGAGGGCAGGAGAATGCAGAGTTTGAGGCCAGCCTGAGCTGCATAGAGAGACATTCTTTCAAAATAAAAATGGAAAAGAAGGAAAAGAGAACAAAAAAACAAACATCTTAAAATAAAATAAAAATAACATTAAACTGAACAGGTCTTTCTAATGCCTCTCTGTGGAAGACCCCATTGAAGACATGTATGTATGGATATCAACAGCTTTCTTGACTCAAGTGGCAGTGGGCAGCTTGTTATATCTCCTAAGACTTTATGTGTCACATAATCCCGCCTTCATCTCTCGATTATACTAGTTTAAAAGGGATGTGGGCTAATATGGCTGAGGGTAAGATGAACAGTGTAAAACCCATGCTGGTCTTCACAGGTGTATCAAGCAGGGGGTACCTAAAGGCTCTAAAACTTAAAATTTCATCTTCTGAAATATTTTCTTCAGTATTCTTCTTAATCAGGCTGTGTCTACAGAGCTCAAATAATCCTCTTGATATGTTCTCTGTGTTCTGAGCAAACCAAGTCTTCATGGCCTGTGGTCCTGACATTTAAAGGTTCCCCTGAAAAGGGTGGAGTCTCACCATCTCAGAACTTCCACATGATAAGAGATTGTTCATAACGTTTCATTGTTCTTTCCTTCCTGTTGTTAAAAAACAGGCCGGGGAAAGCTAGAGAGATGGCTCAGTGGTAAGAGCATGGCTGCTCTACCTGAGGACCTGGGTTCAATTCGCAGCACCCACAGCCATTTTGTAACTCTAGTTCTAGGAAATATGACACCCTCTCTGGCTTTTTCTGGAACCAGGCACGTATGTGATGCAGAGATATACACAACGACAAAACAATCATATACATGAAAAATAAAATACACTTACAACAAGAACAAGACAAGGCATTGTTATTTGGCTAGGTAACGGTTCCTTTGAGAGGATCTCCAAAGACTGTTGTAACACTATGAGAATCTCAGTGGCAATACTGTGCTGTGTGGTCTTATTCCTCAAAACCTAGCTGCTAGGATGAGGGTGGGCATCTGAGACAAGCAGACTTATACCCACAGGAATCTTGGGCTGGTAGCAGGGGAGTACGTCTTACCTCTATGCTCTGTGTTTGTCATTTCCTGTCCTTAGAGCAGTGGCTGTCCACCTTCCTAATGTTGTGACCCTTACACAGTTCCTCATGTGGTGGTGACGCCAAAACATAAAATTATTTTGTAGCTACTTCATAATTGCAATTTTGCTACTTTTAGGAATTATAACATAAGTATCTGATAGGCAACCTGTAAAAGGGTCGGACCCCACAGATTGAGAACCCCTGCTCTAGAGGCAGGAAGTAGGAGGGTGTAAGCAAGAGATACATGGGTGCATGAAGGGTCCAGGGATACAGCCTGACCCTGCCTGTCCCCAGTACTTCGTAAGCACACGTTGGGCCATCTATTTATAGGAAATGTTCCTCTTTGGCTTTAAACAAGAACTGGTTGCTTCCTGCTCCTTACTGTAAAAGGAACCTCTTTAAACTTAGGTGTGGCCTCTGAACCAAGAGTTATTTGTTCTTTATTGTGTAACTGACTTGTTTTTCAGAAAGTGCCAGGAATTTTTTTTCCCAGTAACAAGGAAAAAAAAAAAATCCCAGTTGGTCATTAGCTTCATATTGTCTGAAAGTCTGGGGCTTGTCTCATAATATACATGAGGGACTTCGAAGAGGGATTCAGCTTAGGTGGGGAGGATTATACAGAATGGGCAATTCCCTCTGGTCTCTGGAACAGGAGACTGAGGGTCCTGCCTAGAAAATGGGGCATTTATGTGTGTGTATGTGTGTGTGTGTGTGTGTGTGTTTTTAATGGGCCTGTGGTCCACCCAGGTGTCCTTCCCATTTCTTGAATACAGGTACAATTAAAATTTGGACGAATGCATCAAAATAAACCAAACACTCAGAATTGTTAGCTTTGAGGTCAGGAAAAACTTGTCTGTGACCCACAAATGCTACCATACCAAGTCATCCTTGCATGAGTCCTCTCCTTCTCTGGGCCTCACTTTCTACATTTGAAAGATAAGAAGGATGGGGCTGGAGAGATGGCTCACCAGGTAAGAGCGCTTGTTGCTTTGTGCAGACCTGGGTTTGATTCTCAGTACCCATACAGTGGCTCACAATCATCCATAATGCCAGTTCCAGAGAGTCAACAGGCATGCGTGTGGTATGCATACCTATATGCCAGCAAAACATTTATACATAAGAATTAAAAAGATAAAAACTTAAAAGAGATAAGGAGTATTACCTAGGCCATCCTTGAAGCAAGAGGGATGGAATGTTCAAAACTGTCTGGCAATAGAAGGCTTAGGTGAATATGAGCATGGCCAGCTGCTCTTCTCCTACCTCCCTGAGATTACAGATGAGTTTAGAATGGTGCAGAGGTCTTTCTCAGCCCCACCGAAGGACTTTTGAGTAACATTTTCCTAGGTGTTGCCATGACATCAAATAGGGAAACAGTGATTTTGTGCCACGTCACTCTGCTGGGCTTTGAGGCCACCAGAGGTTCTATCCTGCCATTTTTTAGTTTGGGGACATCAAAAAGAAGTCCTGACCAGAAATGACCTGCAGATGGAATATGAAGCCAGGAGCCAGGATGATCTCACCTGGAGTGAGTGAGGACTGAGTTAGGGCCTGTGCGTGCCCAAGAGGTGATGAAGGAAAACAGCAGACATGTAAGAAAATGCCATCAGGAGCCGCCAAGACACCAGAAGCCCCAGGCAATAGTGGAGAAAAGCCCAGAGGAGAAAGTTTTAGAAAGATGTCATCAGCCAGGCCAAACACAGCTGAGAGTTTGAGAAGCAGCAGGGCCAAGAAGAAGGCATCGTATTCTTCGACAGGTCATAGAGACGGACAATTTTATTCCCTAAAAGCGGTAAGACACAACCTCTTTTTTCCCCTGAGAGCTTTTCAGCATGTGAAGGCAGCCATGCAGGACACTCTAAGAGATGTGTTGGGTGGTAGCCCTGCATTTTGGCTGCTTTCTGCAGAGAACCCAAGCTAGACATGTAGTCATTTTTTATTAGGATGTTGGCAGCACAGGGGTCTCAGCCACACCACACTCGCTAAGCTGCTGGCCAAGTACTGTCCTATCTGCTACCTCTAGTGGCTCAGAACTCACAGACGACAAGGCGTCGCTCTCCACAAACCTTGTCATTCCATTGGCCGTTGGTGAAGATCTCCACGCAGTTTTCAGCTCCACCATTGTTGTTGGGCTCCCCTGGGGCCCAGTTAGAATAGACCAGGGGCTCTCCTGTGGGGTAAGTGAACTTGCCCTCAGTGTCCACATCTGTCATGCTCAGGAAAGCAGCTTTGTTGTGTGCTGTGATAAGCTGCTGTATGGCAGCGTTCTCAACAGCAGAACGAGGGGAGGCCAGCTGCCCCCCAGCCTGCTTGCACATCTCCTGGGCATCCTCAAAAGGCTTTTCAGAGTTGGCTGTCCTGAAGATCTTGTCTCCAACACTTTGGCCATCAGGGAAGAGTGTGGCTGAAAGAGGAGGGAAGGAGGACTGAAGTTGTGGCAGTCCCTACCTAAAGTTCTGGGCCAGTCAAAAATTTGAGTTGGAGCAGGAACCTCCTCTCAACTTTCTTTTTTTTTTTTTTTTTTTTTTTTTTTTTTTTTTTTGACAGATTTTTTTTTGTGTAGCCTTGGTTGATCTGGTCTCGCTCAGTAGAAGTAGCTGGCCTCCAACTCACAGAGATATGTCTGCCTCCCTAAGTGCTGAATTTACAGGCTTGGGCCACCATGCCGGGCTCATCCCAAACTTCTGATGAAGGGTATTAGAGAACCAGAGATGATGAAGAAAAGACTGTGGTCCTAGCACAACAGTGTACTCCCATAAAGCGGTCTCCCTATACACTAACAAAAGCACTTTAGCTCAAAGAAGTTAAATACAGTGTCCAAGTTGCTATGATTGTGGGACATCTCACTCAGTCTGACACCAGAGCTCAGACATAGGCTGAGGAGACAGCTCAGTGGACAAAGTGCAAGTATGAGGAGCTGAGTCTGGACCCACCATGTTCATATAAAAGCTGGACATGGGGTTACAGAAACAGGGGTATAGAAACAGGTGGATCCTAGGGTAGAATGAAAGGCCTCATTGACCAGCTAATCTCACTAAATCAGTAATTTACAGGTTAGTGAGAGTTCCTGTCTCCAAAAAGACAAGGTGGAGAGCTAGTGAGATGGCTCAGAGGTAAAGGTGTTTGCTTCTTGCTATACAGCCTGGTGACCTGAGTTCAATCCCTGGAACCTACATAAAGGTGGAAGGAGAGAATTGACTCCATACAGTTGTCCTCTGACTTCCACATGAGTACCTTGGTACACTGCTCATGTACGCGCGTACACACACACACACACACACACACACACACACAGCTGTCCCCCAAAGGAAACTGACTTTTATTGTTTAGCCCATATGTCAGTTACTATGTAGAACTGATCAACTTTTTCTACAAAATTACATTTGGGAGTACAGAAGACACAGTGCAGTGAGCCCACAGTCATGCTGGTGGTAGTAACACAGGCTTTCAGCCAGTGTCTGCAGTATGTGCTGGGGTTAAGGCACAGGCAAGAAAAGAATGGAGCATCTGAAAGTTGGGTCAATGGCCAGGTTGTCCTTAGTCTCCTAGGCCTAGAAATGCTGGAGAGAGGGATGAAGTATGTCTGAGAGGTGCATATATTCAGGGAAATTGGGGTGGGGTTGATGATGAACCCCAAAAAGGAATCACAGCAGCTATTATGACCCTAGTGATGACTATCTGAGAAGACAAGATAGAGTCACTCCCTTTCCACTTCCTTGCCTCTGAAGGGATGGGTCGCATCACAGAGCATCATCTTCATAGCATGTCATACATCTTTCAGTCAATGTGCCCCCACCTCTGTGGCTTTTGCACCCATGCAGGGTAGTCTGCAAAAGGTACTAGACCCTTAGGGCTCTGGAGAGGGTTGCGCTTCGGTCCTACACTGTGAGGCTGGTGAGAGTCCAAGCTGGGCCCTGATCCACTGTTCTTTCCTCTGAGTATCTTGGGGAAGATTCTGAATGGGGTCAGGATGGTACCAAGAGCAGCCCTGAACAGGGCAGTGCAAGACTCATATGCTGTCACAGAGTTGTTCCTGGGTAGGCTTTTTTGTGCTACATGAATATGCCCACTCATTTATCCAAAGCGCATAGAAGAACCCAATATCCATCTTATGTGTTTTTAAGTCTGTGTGTATGCCTATAATACATGTGCTCATGTATGTTGATAAATGCTCAATGTGTTACTCCAGTCCCAGTCCAAGCCTAGAATTAGTTCCTGCTCATTCCCATCCCAGACCTACAGCAAAGCTCAGCCAAATGAGTAGCCCTAGCTCAACTACAAGGTTCAGAATCCACAACAGTGACAGATTTTGTTTGGATCCAGGAACTCACCTTTCTTATAGTGAGAGAAAGCAGCCTCTAGATGCTGTAGCTGTCCCTTTACAGCCTCCAACTGCTGCTTCAGAGCAGCGGTGTCTTCACAGGAGGGAAAGAAGAGAAATGACCATGTGAAGATTATGCTGCAAACCTAAGAACAATTTAGACTGATCCCCAGAAAAAGGTAAGGGTCAAGGCGGGGAGCTTGCTAACTCCCATCAAGCTCTGCATTTGTAGGCATTGATGGTCTCTGCTGTGAATGGTTTTCTTTCTTTTTTCAAAAAATTATTGTGTGTATGTACATGTATGTTACATGTGTATACACACATAGCCCAGCAATTATTTGGGCATCTTCCACCATTACCTTCCACTGTAGATAATGAGGTTGAATCTGTCACTTGAACCCAGAGCTTGCTGATTTTACTAGTCCAGCTAGCTGGTTTGCTCCAGGGATAGCATCTCTGCCACTGCAGAGCTAGGGTTACTGGCAGGCTGCCATGCCTACCCACCATTTGGGGATCTGAACTCTTGAGCTCATGTCTGTATGGCAAGCACTTCACACACTGATCCATCTCCCCAGTCTACTTGTTTGTTTGTTTTCAAGACGGGATCTAATGTAGCCCAGGCTGGCATCCAACTCAGTGATCCTCCTGCATCAGCATCCCCAGTACTAGGATTACAAGTATGATCCATGATACTGAGCTTCTGTGCAGAAATTTCTTATGTCCCTAAACAAGCCCCTAAACCTCAACTAAGCCTGAACCAGATGGCAGAGCAAAACAGATGACATTCTGACTCAAGATTTAGGAAATATAATGACATCCCAACATTCTTAGGGAAAGAATAGAAATACACATTCCTTATATAATTCTCACCAACTGGGTTGTTAGATACTCAAAGCTAGCCTATAAACCAGGAAATCAGCTGTTATCACCTATTCTCTCATGGTCAGATGAAGAAATTCCCTGGGTTTGCCTTCCCACATGACTTAGATAGACAGCTAAGCAAGAGACTAATGGGCCCTCCTGCCTATCAGGTGACCCCAAGTTCTGCCTGTACTCATGAGGTGCTACATCCCAGTGGGGGTCCCAGCACCTGTGGCTTCTGTCTTACCTGGAAGCCCGCTTTCACCTTTGGCTCCTCTGTCTCCAGGAGCCCCTCTGTCCCCCTTGAGCCCTGGTGGCCCCCTGGAACCTGGAGCTCCCTGTGGCCCCATGGCTCCAGTAGGCCCTGGAATTAAAAACAAATAAAATAAAACAAACAAAACCCCACAAAACCCCACAAAACAAAACAAAACAAAACAACAACAATAACAAAGCTGGCTAAGCCAAGTGTCCATTTTTCAGCATGTTCACCTTACTGTACAAAGTCTATCCTTCTCCCAGCTATGTGCCTTTGTCACATGCAGACTCTTCCCAGAACCCAGACTCATGCCCACTCTGTGCGTGGCTGTCCTTATCATCTGCCAACCAGCTTTGTCTGTGTACAATTTCCCTGCAAAACAACTCACTGTGGCTTAAAATATCCCTCTCCTTACATATGAGCAGGCTCAGGAACCCCACATCTGCCTTCCTTGGAAGCAGAGTGCCTCCACAGCCCAGTTTTGACTTAATGGATGAGATGAAGAAGTGAAGCAGGCCTTGGCAGCTCAAAGGGGGAACAACAGAACTCCAACCAGCTCTATGTCTATTCCTCACTCACCTGCTGCCCCAGAAATCCCAGAGGCACCAGGGGCACCTCTTTCTCCCTTGGGGCCTATGGAGCCTTTTGTTCCTGCAGATCCCGGCATACCCGGAGCACCTACTTCTCCTGGGGAAGGAACAAACAGGTAGAAATGCTGCTAAGAGTGTGTTCAGTGTACAACATTTCCTCAGCAGTAGGCCTTTTCACACAGAACTACAGGGTTGGTTAGAGAGTTGAGAACACTGTTCTTGCTGCCTCGGTTTCCTCTGTGGAGAGTAATGGAAAAATACTGTCATCATGGAGAGATGTGAGCGAGGTGTGCATGCCAAGGTTCTCACAGTGTTAATACTCTGGATTCACCGTGTCAGTTTGACCAGGCCTCAGATCACACCAATAGCCTCCATTGTCATTTCTCTTTTCTTCCTCCCAGAACAATCATACCCCTTGCTTACCTTTGGGCCCAACCTCTCCTTTGGGACCTGGTTTGCCTTGAGGTCCTGTGTTCCCCTGCTTCCCAGAGGGTCCTTCTTTTCCAGCTGGACCAGGCAAACCTGGGAGTCCGGGAGGTCCTGGCAAAAAAGGATTAGCCCAGTCAGTGGCACGGAACTCCTTTGGCAGTAGGAGATTATCAGATGCATGTCAGAGAAGAGGTCAAAGAGACAAGACCCAGAACCTCCTTCTGAACTTCCTCAGTCCCTCTTCCTGGGACAGGCTCTGTGCCTACCACCTACACATCCTCATGACAGAAGCAGCAGCTGGAGTTACCATCTGAATCCCATGACCTATTGCTCACCACCTGGTCCAGAGTCTCCCTTTGGTCCAGGTTCTCCAGCAGAGCCATTCTCCCCTTTGGGCCCAACTGGACCTGCAGGGCCAGGCATCCCTGCAATCCCTGCAGGTCCTGGCAATCCTATAGAAACAAAAGAAATGGACCCAAAGTCAGTTATAGGCTCAGGAAGGACTGCTGTCTATAGGATGAAGTCCTTGACATTCCTTCAAAGTTCTACTGTGCATGGACAGCCTACATTCACACACCGTGGTCCTATGGTGACACACTTAATAAAAATTAGGTCCCCACTTATAGGAAATAGATATCCTTGGCTTGGAGGTGAATTCAAGCCACGAACCTCACAATCTTCCATGCAGATCTTTATCACTGTGCCCAAGGCCACTGTGTCAGCAGAAGGCAATCTGTCAGCTTTGATTGATCAATGACCACAGAGCAAGTATGTAGATGTTTGTATACATGTATGTAAGCCTGTGTGAGTGAGTGTATGAGGAGTTTGTATCAGGACAGCCAACTTTTTTTTTTAAACATTTTTCAAACATTGTACCAGATAGATCCTAACTTGTTTATTGTTATTTATCTAATTGATCATTGTTTATGAAGAGCTCCAAGCACAAAAGGAATAAAAGCTTAAAAATAAGACTGTAAAAAACTAAAAAACACAGAATGCAGCAAGGGAAATAACCAACAGAGTGAAGAGACAACCTACTGAATGGGAGAAGACACTTGTGAAACATTCACCAGACATGACAGAAGGGTTTGTTGTCACCTAGAATATGTAAGGAATTAAAAAACCAACAAAAAACAGAAAATGACCTAATTTTAAAGTGTGAAGATTATATGAACAGACTGATAATCTGTTCAGGAGAAGAAATAAAAGGCCAGAAAGTAAATGAAAAAATGTTATTGTAAGTAGTCATCAAGGATATATAAATCAAAACCACAATGAAATTCCATTTTGTACTAGTTAGAATGGCTTTTACAAAATAGAGCAAAGCAAGTCAGGTCTTTCAGTGCATGCCTTTAATCCCAGCACTCAGGAAGAAGAGCTCTGAGTTTGATGCTAGCCTGGTCTACACTGCATTGTGAGTTCTAGGCCAGTCAGGGTTACAGTGAGAACCTGTCTCAAAACCCCATATATGCATATATATGCACAGGAACCCCAAATACACACAGAAATAATAAATAGTGGTGAGGATGTAGATAAAAGGGAAGCTTTATATAGGAAAATGAGTTATTGAATTAGTATATTTGCTGTGAAAAATAGTGTTAGGATTCCTAAAAAACTAGAGGTATAATTACCACCCATATATCCTACTATGCCTGGGAATATATCCAGTTAAAATGCAATCAACAAGCCAGAGATAACTGTAAACTCACATTTATTGAAGCATCATTCACCATAGCTAAGGTATGCTGACAGCCTAGGTGCCTACCAGTAGACAAACGAGTAATGTGGTATAAATCCACAGATTATTTTAGAGAGAAGAGAAAACAGATAAAATTACATGTTTGAAAACCAGAGATGACAGGCCTTCCTAGGGCAAGAAGTGCAGTTGGGATGGAGTACCTGTAAATTTTCTGGAAGACTTTAGGCTTCTTATTGCTTCACAGGGATGAAGCATAGACAGTTAAATGGCTGGGCTACATCATCTATCTACTACTCACCCTGGCGGAGTAGACATTTCTTGACTCAGGTTGAGCATCTCCTACCCTAAGGTCTCACTACAGTGACCCTTAGATCCAATTCTAGATCACCTGCTCAAGGGTGTCTCCTCTTAAGCTTCAACTGCCTTTTTTAGCAAATTTTGGGGAGCAACAGGTATCAAAATCCATGACAGATGATCAAAAGTGACTAGAGAATGACTGGACTAGAGGAACAAAAAGAAAAGAAAGAAAAGAAAAGAAAAAGAAGAAGAAAGAAAAAAAAGAAAAGAAAAGCCATTCTGTGTCCCAATGTTTGCTTCCTTAACCCAAGGCCTAACCAAAGACCAGGAAATTCACAGTAATAAGGCCTGTTCCAGGACCACTGTGGGAAAGGAACACTCTACATTTAATACACAGATTTCACTGGGCTCAAGAGAGAGACGGAGATCACCAAGTACCATTCCTCTTGTGGCTGCCCCTGGATGAATCTAAAGCCCCGGCACATTCATACATGGGGCCACTTTGTGTCTTACCTGAGACATACCATCTCTTGTCCTTTATCCCATGTAGCCTAGAGACAATATTCTAAGTGGCTTCCTTTCAACCAAAATGCAAACTCGGGCAAGAAACAAAGTATTTGATCCCATCAAAGCTTCAGCTCAGAAGAATGTGTCCCACTATTTTTGTTGTTTATTAAGTTTCCCACTCTTGCCAACGAGACTCTGCAGGGTCAGTATTTTCAGGGTCAACACATTTGCTTAGTACTATGTCTGGCAAACCAGGAGAACACACCAAATCGCTCAACAGGAACATTGAACTTCACCCAGAAGACTCAATATAAAATAAAATCTTTGGCTCCATCATCTGTCAAAGATTATTTGGCAAATCCTATTCTTACTTGAAAATAGGCAAGTTGAGACTTTGTGTCCTTGAGGGTCACAGTCACAGAGAGACAGCTAACAGTACAATCTTTTAACGCAGAAGCCCTTCTTCTTTCAACTTTACCATCCCCCACTTTACCTGAGAAGAGACCTTGGTATGTTCCTTGTGGGTTTTGAAAGAATTAAATGGATTTCCAAGTGAATATCTGAGCATAGAGCTGTACAAAGAAACATGAATTCTAATCTTCATTTGTAATATCTTAGGCAGGTTTTGCCAGTAAAACCTGTTTGTAGGACTGTTTATAGGAGTCTGATTTTTCTCACCATGTGTGCAGTGGAGTTTAAATATTAAAACTAATTAACATTCCATATAGGCACCCTTTAATCAAAATGAACAATTGTTTACTGCTGGGACAGGGTTATATTGGTTGTTTATCCATTCTCTGAACAAGAAGAATCCAGGGATCCCAAGAGAGGAGTCAGGGCAGCTGGGTGATGGGAGAAAGCTCATGGTAGGTCAAAAACATGTGTTTGGCAGGTAGCATGGACACCATGGGGAAACTCATTCCTCTGGTAGGAAGCACACATCCAAGTTCATCATGGAGTATCTGAACATTCAGACTGGTTCACATTCCAATAACCCCCCTTTCCTCCAGGACAAGCCCTTGGTCCCAAGTCTACCTGGATCACCCTTCTCTCCCCGTGGACCCTCTCTCCCATCCCGTCCATCCCGTCCAGGCAGGCCGTTCTCTGTGGGACTACAAATGACTAGAGTGCAGGCGTTAGATATTGATCTCTGTGAGAGGGTCTTCATTTCTGCTCCCAGGCTCCCCAAGGGCTGTACCAGCAGGGCAAGCATGTAGAGGAGGTGCAGCATTGCCTGCAGGGATGAGAACGAGAAAAGAGGTGATGATGGTTCTAGGATGTGGATTAAGTAGTGGCTGCTGAGTCTGGAGATGAGAAATTTCCATTCCCATGTCCTCCTCTCTGATGAGGGCCCAGAGCAATAAGACCGTAAGACTCCAAAAGCAGTATATGGAGGTGGGCATATGATCCAGCCTTTGAGGGAGTGAGCTACCTGACTAGCACTCTGACAAGGTTGACAGTAGTTTCCATCTCTGGTGCCCTATGAAAACAGTGCCTGAGGACTGTCCTCATTCCTGGTCCTCCTTCTCTCTGTGTACTAGGGCAGCTGGATTAATTCAGTTGAGGCTAAGCCTATATCCTCTCTCTAGCTAAGGTATCAACACTGATACCTTATAACACTGGTCCATAATTGAACCTGGGTCTGAGTGCTTCTAGATTCCAGCACAAGCTCAGGTTGGAGTGTGGCTGCATGCTTGCCAGGCAAGTTGATATTTCTGGACCAAGCAACCAAATCCATGATGAAGGAAGGACCCAGAGGGAACACAGGTAAAGAGTTTCAGAGATATCAAGTTAGCAGCTAGAGAGACCCAGAGATAACTAGAAGGCTATTGAGATGCTTTGTTGGTGAAGAGGGAATTCCAGGTGGGCTTATTCAGATTGGAGGCTGGTTTGAGGAGGAACCTAGAGAAGACAGTTGTCAGAATATTCAGTCACTGTCTGAGAGGGACTTAGTCTGGCTGAGACCTGACTTCAGGGTACAAGAGTTTGGTCACTCCCTACACAGGGTATCTCAAGGTCTTAACTTATCATCATTTCCAACACTTTTCAATAGTGTTACAAGGCTGTCAACTCTGCATGCCTTCAACCATGGGATGCTGGGGTACATTCAAGATCTGACCTATAATAATGTCTTTCCTTCCAGGGAAGGAAAGAGCCAGTGGGTAGCACAGTGGTTGGGAACAAAGCCAAAGGGGCCCGTGTAGTTCACTCTAACTGAATAAGGTACATGTTTGCCAGGGCTTCCTGACCAGAGAGGTGCTTCTCCACCTGCTGGTGGTTCTGGGATAAAGCTTTCCTTTTCTTATTCACCATGTCCTCAGATCTCTTGGGACTTCCTAGAAATGCCTTAATGAGCTCACAGGCCACTTCCTTATTCTTGTTTTATCAGAGACTCTGTTATCAGTACTGAAGAGCAGGCCCAAGTCATAGCAAGGCCACTTCCTTGCCCTACAGCCTCCTTAACTTTAGGGCCCCATACCTCATTTCGGGGGAAGAGTCAAGACAAAAGGCTTTCTGATCTATCACCTGTTCACCTTAGGAAGGAGGCCTCAGAGAGCAGACCCTCAGGCTTTCAGAACCAGGACAGTCTGGGGTTAGCTAGAGGACCAAATGGAGTGTGCAAAAACCACAGCCCAGAGCTCAATGACACTCAGTCTGTGCTTTCAGAGAAAAAGTTCATTGAGAACAGTGCCTCTTCCTGATCTTGGCTGACAAACCAGAGACCATGTATATTATTTAATAGACTTTAGGCTAAGAGGGAACTTGGTTTGTCCTGTTGCTATGCCATTGGCACCAGCCTGAGTTTAAAACCTTAGCCCAGGGAAGTCTGGGCAGTTCTTCCTCTATCTTTTTTTTTTCCTTTCTTTCTTTATGAAATTGGGAACCAAGACAAAATTCCACTTGAATTCTCTATACTATGTGTGTAGGTCTGAGAAAACATCACATAGAATTCAGCCATACTACCCAAGCTCAGAAAGTACATCTTCCAATTGAGCCAAGGAAGGTGTCCTAGGGACAGAGGATCTTTTCCCTTTACTCTGTCCTCCACTTCCATTCCCTACAATCCCTGATCTTTGACTCTTGATTCCTGATCCAGAACGCAGAACCAGAACCACTTCCCCACTTTCTCAAAATCAGTGTGATAAACAGCCCATCTGGACAAAGAGATTCCACATAAGATAGGGAAGTGAAATGAGAAGCAGAGATACTCACAGATTGCTTCCTTGTAGGTCCCAGGAGCTCCAGGCAAATGTAGCTGCGTTTGTCAGGCACCTGCTATTTATGCCTTCCCTGTAAGTGGAGCCAATCAGCACTGGACTTCTGAAAAAAGTCACACACACACACACACACACACACACACACACACACACACAATTTTCTTTCTGTTGACTCACTCACTCTTACCCCACCTACACTCTGCAGCCCTGCTAACACTATGCACACCTGCTACCTTAGCAGTCCACAGTGGCTAATGATCTATATACCCTCTCTTGCAGCTCTAAGAATGAGGAAGCATCCCCAATGCCTGGGTGTTGGAGGCATCCAGGACTCAGAGGTCCAGATCCCATCATGTTGCACAATGGCCTACAATGACTGAAGACCAAGAAAATCCTCATATCTGCATGTCTCCAAAGGTAGGACCCACTGCTGTGTCCAGTTCTCTTTTCATCATAAAAACATTGCCCAGATATTGGGAAAGAGCTGGGAGCTGCTTGGCATAACCAGGAGGGGTGGGGCAGATAAGGAGGCTGCAAGGGCAGCAACCCACGGGGATTGTAGTACAGACAGCTGCAGCCTGGAAGTAGACACCATTTTGCATACTGCACTAGAATACAAAGAGCTCATCACTTATTCTTTAGGAAGTGAACTTACCTTAGCAGATGGTATCTTGGCCCTTGTTCTTTCATTTTCCTAATAAGCGTTTGACTTGTATGTTGCCCTAATCATTAAAGAGAAGCATGGAACTCCTGATACTCTGTGGTTACAGCCCTTTAAGTAGGTTCTTTGCAGGGTTTTTGAGAAGTAGTCCACTTTACCATTGCTATAATCTTTGTTTCTAGACCCTCATTACTTGAATTTTTTAAAAAATCTTCCTCCATTCCCATTCTCTCTCTCTCTCTCTCTCTCTCTCTCTCTCTCTGTGTGTGTGTGTGTGTGCGTATGCGCATGTGTGGGCACACATCTCAAGGTTAAGGTGGCTTTACCTCCTGATTCTAGATTTAGGGCAATATTTTTCTTTTGAAGCCAAATTTCATTTTGCTTAAAGATAATTTGGATATTTATTTCTTTAGGTAAAAATAAGAGATTACAACAAGAATAGCTGAAGGAGACACAACACACATACCCACAGAACCAGCAGGGCAGCCTGTACCATTTATTTCTAGCTCCAGCCTTTCTGGAAGGAAAGGGGAGTCAGTACATTTGACACTGAAGACAATGATGGCAATAACTATAGTTCTAAGGCTATCATTAGGATTTCTCTAAAGTGTCTGGTTGTAGAAATGAGTGGCTGTGGGAACCGACTAACTCAATCTCTGGCACAGTCGTTCAGAAAAGTTTTCTATGCTAAGTACTCACACTGTAAAAGCTAATATGCCTTTCTCCTCAGATTCACTGTTGAAAACTCTCAGACAAAGGTGTTTGCTTTCCGTTATCAGATGGTATCTTGATCTGGAATTTTATTATCTCTGTGAACCTGGTCAGAGGCGTCATCTTTCACTGATTACCTAATTTGTTTACTCCTACAATTTGTAGGCATATGTGTTATATAGCACATACACTTAGCTTATTTATTCCATCAGTAGAAACAATCTGTGGATGCACAACAATTCCATGCCAGAAAATTAAAATTTATGCCATGAAAAATACCAGTTGACATCACAGTGTTGCCATAGTGACATTCGAACCCTGGACAGGATACACTGAGAGAGGCACAAAGTAATTTTTTTGTGATGCTTTAGCTAGCATTGCATAACCTCAGTCTAATTATAACAAAATTCCAGACAAGCCCACTTTGAGCAACAATGCAAAATAATATACCACCTGGGTCAAAGGCATGAGCTGTGAAGTTATGCTAAGGGAAGATAATGACAAAATAGAATGTAGGATTATAGACTGGACCCTAGACCAGAAACATAACATTAGGGGAAAAAATATGGAATATTGTGGGGGCTCTTTTGGGGGACCTGCTTGAAGTTTAACGATAAAGACAGGGAGGCACCTGTATAATATAAAGCTGTTGGCACTTTGGTGGAGGCAGTCCTTCAGCTAGCCATCTAACTTAACCTGACATCCCCGCTCTTGCACCCCCTCCATGTGGCTCTTTATGTTTACCCTTCTGCTTCATTCCTGTTTCTGCTTCTGTCTCGTGCCTGGTTCTGTCTGGTTGTCTTACCCCAGCTCCATCTGACAGCTCTTTATTCTGCAAAAAGCCGCGCTTCTTTCCTAGACAATAAAAGCTATTAGCCTAGTGGGAGAGAGTCCACAGCTACTCATTTCCAACCAATCGGCAGCCAGCCTACATGCAGTAGTGCTGCCTTTTGGCCTTCTGAGGGCTCTGGGACTGCCCCCCAACAGCAGCTTGCCTCTTCTCTTTGGACAGGTGAGGGAGTGACAAACATTAACATATGCTGCTAGCCTGAACTGGAATATAGGGCTCAGAGGTTAAGAGCACTGGCTGTTCTTCCAAAGGTCTTGAGTTCAATTCCCAGCAATCACGTGGTAGTTCATAGCCATCTGTAATGAGATCTGGTGCCCACTTCTGGAATGCAGGCAGAACACTGTATAAACAATAAATATTACAAATATCAATAAATAAATCTTTAAAAAAAGAGTTGAGAATACAGAGGCACAACTTCAGAGCCAGTTGATAATATCTGTGCAGGTGATCCCAACAATGGAATCTGAATAGGCCTTGAATTCCCAAATAGCACTGAACTCAGGTCAGTTTCTTTTTTTTTAATTAAATTTTTATTTTTTGTATTAATTACAGTTTATTCACTTTGTATCCCAGCTGTAGCTTCTTCCTCATTCCCTCCCCATCCCACCCTCCCTTTCTCATCTCCTCCCATGCTCCTCTCCAAGTCCACGGATAGGGGAGGTCCTCCTCCCCTTCTATCTGACCCTAGCTTATCAGGTCTCATCAGAACTGGATGCATTGTCCTCCTCTATGGCCTAGCAAGGCTTCTCCCCCATCAGGGGAATGCAGTTAAAGAGTTAGCCACTGAGTTC